GTATATAACAAACTCTGTATTTTGAGTGGAAATGTTAGGGGGTCGTCTTATACGCCCAGTCGTCTTATACGCCGGCAAATACGGTAAGTTAAGTGACCTGTAGACAGCCATGTAAACAAGCACTGGAGGAACCCAGGTAATTTTATCTAATAAAAACTCTTACTTTGGTTAAAATGTATATACATGAATCTCCCTGTGGACAATATTTCCAAAGAGAATACTTTAAAGTTGCAAAATAAACTGAGTAAGAGTACCCATAGAATAATTCAAATGAGAAATTCTTAAGACATCTAAGATGTGTAACAATGAGTTGCATATTTACAAAATCAACACAATCGTTTCTAAAATTATGAAAGGCTTAGATTAGCTTGGAATCCTACAGAAAACCTAGAATAAAAAAAAGTAAAAGTACTAGAAAAAAGTAAAATCTGAAAGAGCTATAGAGTAGTCACTGGTTCTTCACAAACCTCTCAACCAGAATTAGCAAGCTTCCTAATGGATGACAGCACGTATCACACTAAATAAGGTGTAGTAGTTTTAGAACTTCCAAGTACAGGCTATTCGATGTGTTATTAAGGCAGGCAACCATTAAGACATAACTTTCTTCCAGACAACTTGACCTACTAAATAAGTGTAGGGTGAAACGAAAGCTTTAGTCTGCTGGGGGATAAAAGACAGAAGAGCATGATGATCACCCAGCGTATGAACTAATGTCTGCCAGGTGTCAAGTGGTAATGAGAAAAATGTGGGCTAGAAGACTGGCTGATCAAAATGACATTCTGACATCACTTAGAAAAGAAAAAGCAAAAAGAAAAAGCCTCAGCACTTCCTTTTCCTACTTAAACTGCAACTGGCTGCAAAACAAGACCCACTTAAAGTGATAGGTTTCAAGACAGGTAGCCCATCTGCAGGCTTTGGAAATCATAGCATTATTTTGTTTGGTTATTTAAAATTTCATAGATGGATTATCTCAGTGTGCAAAAGATAGCTACTGAGTATCATTTTTTCCATCAATTCTTTTTTTCATATCTGATGGTTAATTACCAGAAACACTTGAAGCAACACCAGGAAAATCAGACTTGGAGTTTGATGCATACCCCAAGAATTTGAATTACAGTCTACTAAGGCATTTATTATTTTTTTTTATATTATTATTATTTTTTTAGCTGAGCCATCCTGCTACCTGTTGGCAGCTCAGCGGCTGCTCAGCTCGGGCTGGACCTGAACCGCTGTTGCTCAGAGCTCAAACTCCTGAGCGAGCTCTTAACCAACTGAGCCACTCGGCCGGCCCTAAGGCATTTATTTTTAAACTAAGCTGCCTATACCTTCATTTAGGATTGTCTCATAACTAAATCAAAGTTATTTTCAAGAGATAATCTGAAATATATAACAATAGATAAATTCTTAGAATTTTTTTAAGTTGCCAGACTAACATTATTTTCACTGAATGAATTCAGCCCTATAAAGCTCGTAGTGAAACAGTGCTTCAAAAACAACCACATGATAGCAAAATGAAAAAAACCCACTTTAGGACCTAATTGAACAAAGCTGGCAGAGAAGAATAGGGAGGGAGTTTTATGTAGTCCAATATGCACCTGAGTGCATTTAATCAAATGGGGTTGGGAAGTGGACATGGGGGTCTCAGGAAAGAGTTTTAGGCAATTTCCACTACATACATGAATTTAAATTTATGGTTTTAGAAATGCATCAAAGACCTAGAAGTCCTTCTACTTTAGATAAACTGCTTTTCCCAGTACTGAGTCTTAAATGTCAGAGGAACAATTATTTTCATGACTTTCAAAATATTTGATAACTTTATCAAACTTTTCATACATTCTTCACCCCTGCAATACAAATGATATAACTTGTGAGCAAAACTAATGAACTTTCTCTAGTGCAAGTTTATCACCATTCTTTTTTCACAAGAAATTACTCTGTATGTTCTCACAAGTGGGATATTTAGATGGTCTTACAGGGGAAAAAGAGGTGTAACTAACTGTACAACTGTCTTTGATATACGACACAACCTTTAAAGACAGAATGAAATAAAAAGTTCACACTGGTGTAATCATGTCTGCAAGGATGAATAACACATGTATGGGAGAAAAGCCTGGATGTGAAAATGTATGTGTAAACTCTAATCATTTAAACAAATTCAAGGTATTAAGAGTGCTTTTGCGAATTCTAACTCAGGATCTTTTTGCCTCTATCTTTCATAGGGTAGGTGGGATGGAGAGTACATTGCAGAACTTGAACAACTCAACTCAGTTTCTTTAAACTGCTTGATCTGTTGAATCTTAAAACAACTCACTCTCCTCATTGGGATAATGAATAATCTTAGTTTTGTTTTTATTCCTCTTTTTCATTTCTTGCTGTTGTGAAATAGGGATAAGTACTCACCACACAGGCTCACGAGATGCAAAATTCCCTTCTTTCCAATAAATATCCTGTATTTTTTTTAGCTGAAAAGCCCTTGAAGTTAACCCCTCTTCCTACAAGTAGCGAGTGGGACATCGCTGGTGGAGAATATGAAAGTTCTAAGAGATACTTACGTGGGCTATCTCAATTAAAATTAGTGAATTTAGTCCCAAATATGCAAAGGCAGGTGAACTTAGCATTATGTAATGGTGGGTATGTGCACCTGTGAGAACATGTGATTAGCTGCTTGTTGTTGAGGTGGCGGGGGTGGCAGAGGGGGCGGTCCAGGCACTTGGGTTCTCACTGGTTGTTGAGTCATAGGAGGGTTATACACAACTGGACTCCCATCTGGGTTTATGAAGGGCTGACCTGAAAAATTTAAAAAGGCAGAGGAAAAAATAATTTACAACCGAGTTTGAAAATAGGTCATTTTACTAACAATTTACAATACATGTCTATAAACCTTATTCACAGTTTTGAAGCCTCAAGTTTCTGAAAACAAAAGATGTTCTTAGCTTGGGAAGCAAAGTCTGACCTTATAGTATTAATAGTCTTTATTTTCCCCACAGAGTACATATTCAGACATTTTGCTGCAGAGTTTTACTGAGGGTGCTGCTCCAGAATCTACCAGTTATTTTATAACACACAGTATTTTCTGAAAACCTCTGAATTCTGAAATACATCTTGTTCAAGAGTTCAGTTATAGGATTTGGTGCTTCGTGCTGTAATGCATTTCAGTTTCCAGAAAAAAATGCTTGAGTTGGGGATACTGGAAATGTATTAATTAGCCTCTGTTAGGTGGTGAGAAATAGCTACTCTACAGGCCAGAATACATATGTTTAATGAAGTTAAAATGAAATGAAAATTAAAACGGTCAACAGCTTCAAATTTCAAGTTGTGGGCTTGACTGCAGTGTCCTTATTTTATAGCTTCTAACTTAAAAGTTGTAATTTTTAGTCACTAAATCATTTTCTAAAGTAATCTTTTTAATTCCAGTGAGAGTTATTCACAGGGAAAACTAGAGAGAACTTTAATATTGATTTTGAGGCTTGTTTTTATTGCTTACTAATTACTGGGGGGATATTTTAAGTAAAATAAATTTTACTCTTTCTCTACACATACAATCTAAATAACTTTTTCTTATTGTAAAAGTTAATATATTTATTGTGGGAAAATAACCAACAAATAGAGATCAAAAGGAAAATAAATCCCCCATAATCTTATAGTTAACAATTTGGTTGCCTTCTTCTAGGCTTTTCTCAGTGCACATATAAACAGATTCAAAAATTAGTATTTTTCTTTACTATATACTAGATTATCTTGTAAAAAAGAAAAGACTATGTGAAATAAACTGACCATTGACTATGACAAAATAGAAAGAATACAGAAGAAAATAAGAGAAATTCGACTTAATAATAGTTTCATACATTGCCTTCAAAACATCCTTTCTTCCATGATAAGACCCTCTCTCTTTTAATCTTATGACATGTAATAAAATAATACTTGGGAGGGAAGAATCCACTGTTCTATTGTTATTTAGTGGGAAAGTTATCCAAAGTTAAATTATTTTTATCAGCTTCCTGATAATTTATGTGTTGGTCACAAATATCTAAAAACAAGTCATGCTGGGTATTTGATGATTATTAACACATTGAGGACGGGGCATTTAAATGTATAGACGCAAATCTGCATCACTGGTCCACAATGTGTTAAATAATTCTGAAAAAAAAAAAATGGTAGGGAAGATGTTGGGCGAATGCCTGTTTGTTTAAAAGTAACTTAAGGTCTGCCTGAAAAAAGTTAGATGTGTTGTAACACTGTTCTCAAAAAGCAAAGAGATCACTTTTGAACTCACTTAAAATTAAGAATACAATTCTTAGCTTCTCACTCTATCATTCCTTACTCAATTGAATCTTTCATGTTACCAAAAACATATTAACCAAAATGTTTTGAATAAAAAATAATAGGAAATAGCAAAATATTAAATCATCTTATATCCTGCTCCAGGAAATCAGGGAGTTTAGTAATATAATAAACCTGAAGGATAAGAAGATAACTGTTATTAGGCAAAAACTGACTTTCTGAAGTCAGTTATTTATGCTAAATCAATTCTTATCATAGAAATAAATGTTCAAATACTTTCTCTTAAAAAAGAGATGCAAATGAAATGTGAAGGCTGTGAGTTCCAAGCCATGTCTTCTCTACAACAAACAAAAGGAACTCTCAGAGACTCTGACACTCTCAGCTCTATCTACCTTGCCCAAATACTACCATGCTGATGTGACCACATCAGCTAAGTCTGTGAATTTTTAAGGAAGGTTATGAAATGACTTAAGAGTTGTTTTCATTATCTTACCAAATGATTGGGCTATGTTATTTCTGAATAGAGAACAAGACGTTCTGTAATCTTTTAAAAGACTATTTTCTCTATTATAAGTCATTTTTGCCAATGCACACAACGAAATGTATTATGGCTGCATCTCTTTGAGGTTGGTTCCTTATCTGTAAATGGGAATTTAGCCTACCTAACAGGGTTGTTATAAAGATTATAAACAATGTATTTAAAGCACCTAATACAGTACATGAGACACAGTAAATGCATAATATATGCAAACTATAATCTAATAGCAAAGAATGTGTTGTTGTCAGTATTAATTCATGACTACCTATTTTCTTTTACTAGTAAGATATCCTTTAGCTTTCCCTCAGTAGAAAATAATTACCATATTCAGAAGGACAGTTATTTATAGGATCATTCCAGAGCTGTTAACTTCCTCTTTCTTCATGAAATACATATTTCCCCCCAGAATAAAGCTTTTATCAAATAAAGATTTTATCAAAGTTTTTATCAACTCTTTCAAAGGTGGTTGTCTCATTTATAGGAAATGAATTGTTTTTAATTACAGTTAGGCCATTATTTGGCCTAAAAGATGAAGTCATAGATGTCACAAGGAGAAAAATATAAATATGTCTTTTAACATTTTCTACCATAAGTGTTTTTATTAAAGCTCTAGGAAAAATGCTAACTGCGCGTTAAAAATAAAAATCTGACAACACATATACAGATAATACATTTAATACGTATTCTTTAATTTTCAGATAACTCCTGATATTTCAGATAACTGAAATAAACACCTTTTTCGGAATACCAACCTGTTTGTGGGTTGATCAGAATACTGCCAGGTGGTATGCCTGCCGCTTCCAAGGGAAGCAAAAAGAAGCTAGTACTAGGAGATGCGACTTGCCCATTTAGGCCACCATCAAAGGAAAGAGAACTATGAGTGCTGACAGTTGGATAGACGACAGGTGCGCCATGAGAAGACTGGCTGAGAGCTGTACCTGGAAGAGGCTGCTGGATGTGAGAAAGAGAGCCCGTAGATGACCCTACACTACCAGAAGACTCAGAACCTAGGGGAGGAGTAATGAGAAATATGGATTTTTTAAACCTCATATAAAAATGCAGGTTTTAAACACGTAACAATCAAATTCATATTGCATACCATGCAGTTACCACATAAAAGCATTGGCTATTTTTGATTTACTGTATAATTTCGCTTTCCCTCCCCATAATGAACAAGTTTAACACAACTAACTGATCACATAAGTCAGAGGAATCATAGCCAAAGCATGCAACTTAAGCAGTTTATAATGACACCAGCCACAGGCAGTCACAAAAAGCACATTACCCACATTTCCAAGAGGACAGTTTTATACATTTTACCTTTTGGATTAACACCTAGGAATATACAGATTATAACTTTCCCCCAGGAAAAAGAACTTAGCACAGCCAAATGCCCAAACCTCTATATCAGAAACCCTTATCTATAAGAACATAGAAAGATTAAGGGTAGTGCAGAAAATAACAAAAAATGATAAATTCTCTTCAACAGAAATAATTGTCAAGTTTCATTGCAGAATTTCATTTTCAGCTCATAATCATATACCATCTCCCTATAATGTACAGTAACCCTATAATGTACAGTAACCTTTTGATCTTTTATCATATCAAGGGACAAAGATAGCATTAACATCAATTTAAAATTTATTTCTCACTGTCCTTAATAAATTTGATAATTTATTTTTAACTGCTTTTATGCCTGCAATTAATTTTATTTTCTATTATACAGAGACTAAAAATGTCATTGACTTTCAGTATAATGGCTACAGGTGAGAGAAAAGGAAAAAAAGGAAAAGATTTTGATAATGTATATAGTTAATTAAGTTTTGAAAAACAGAGTTGACTCTAGGATGGAGAACTAATCTTTAATGAATGAAATAAACAAATATGATACATTTTACAGATGTCCTATGAAGGATAATTTCTATTTTAAATTGTGCCAAAAAGACTTGACAAGAACTATATAAAAAGTCATTTTTTTCCTATTAAGAGTTAAATAAAATTTCTTTTTATTTCTGAAGACAATACAGATAATAAATAGTACATGTCCTTAAAATGTTTTAATTTGGTAGTGTGTCTAAATGACACATGAGTAGTTTTTTCCTGTTATGATGACTAACTGGCCATTTTAAAAATAAATGCATGTTTGGTACACATACATTTTATATTCATAAAACTTACCTGTCTTTGGCAATACTCTATCATATACACTAGGACATTTTTACTATCTACAATAAAATTTTAAAAATGTGACAAGTGCAATCCACATGCCTTAACGTTTAAAACATTGAGCATAGACAGAGATTAAAAAAATACTCTGACCTTCAATATACATCTCTCCCTTTAATTGTAATCTGTACAACACCAAATGTCTAGGCTAACCCAAACAGGGTAAAGGGAGGGAGCCATTTCTGCTGACTTTCATGCTTATTTGGGATAAAAATAAGGATCAACAAGGATCCCAAAAGAAACATGAGCTTCTTTGGTATTGAAGCCAGTTAGTGAAGGTGAAAAGATTATGAACCTAAATGATATTACTCTAGATGCAAAGAAACTAGTAGAATTGAGGATGTTATTGAAATTTCCACTCATTGATAATAATTACATATTATTTTTCTTAGGTTTTTAAATTCCTCAAAAACGTCTCAGCAATTTTATTAATCTTTGAATGGCAAATGCAGGACTTTATCATTAAAAATGCAATCAATAATTGATAGCATTAGCTGAAAATGTAATCACTGTTAAAAATCCTAGGTGAGAAACTACACTTTCCAGCTATTATATAAATAAGCAATGAAAAATTTCCAGTCACTTCTGGGCACTGCAACAAGAGATGACATTTCATTGAACCAACCTGATTAAGTTTATGTCACAACAGAGAATTATTTTAATTGATGTTTGTAAATCTCTCTCTCACACAGAGATGAATCGTAGTTTCAATAAGCATTTCAGTATTCTGGAGGTGCTCAATGCACTGCTGGTGTGAATTTTGTATTTTAGGATAATTACAGAAGCCATATGATAAATAAAGAGCTAAGACAACATTAGGGAAACTAATGTTTTGACTGCACAGTTTCAGACATGTGTTTATACCTGTTTTTGAAAGCCTGCCTATGCTTTTGCTGCTTCCAGAACTATCACCTCTTGTCAGGACTGAAATTCCACTGAAGCTGCTGGCTTTGGTCACAGCAGGCTTGAAGTTTCGGAGAGAGCTGTCTGAATCTGTGCTGCTCCAGGGTCGTGGTTCAGAGTACTTCAGATCGTTCTCAGTGCTGCTTTGATGGCTATTCGTTGACCTTCCTGAAGCATCTTTATTAACTCTGTAATTTAGAAATAAAACTTTGAAAAGCGAATAGAGACAAAAACAGAAAGAATGAAGAAAAATGCTTTAATTTTTCAATACTGCATGAAAACATGCTTCCAATACCTAAATATCTGGCGCCTCTGTTGGGTACTACTAGCATCCTCATCTTGGATTCTGTTGGCATTTTAATAACACATTTTTATTTTTATTAGCGTCAGTCAGGCAGTCACCAAAACAAATGTTAAAAATTCCCTTACCTTTTGTCAATAATATAATTCTCTTGGGAACACAGGGACTAGAAAGAAAGATAAACAGTCAAGCTTTTGTTAAATACATAATGCCATCTGTACACTACTGATTTTAACAAAAATCATGTGTAATAATATTTTAAAAGTATCCCTCCCCCCAACAATCCAACATAGGGATCATAGTACACAACTAAATGATAATGGAAATTTTTTGGCTTGGAGATATTATGCTTACTTTTTAACAAATACACATTTTGAAGCCATTCATTTTTGTGGTAAAAATTAATTTAAAATTAAAAATCTCTTTCAAACAAACCCATTTTTATTATTACATATTCAAGGTATACATTAGTCTGTAGATTCTACCTCACTCACAACAAATATTTTGATCGCCTGTGCTTTGGTTGTGGATGTAGCAGTGAACATGCAGCTACGCCTCAACACAGCTTATGCTAAACTGCTCTAATGCTACTAACCTATCTCAGGCAACCATTATTTTTGCTTGTATTATTACAACAGTCTTCTAACGAGTTTTCAGGCCACCAGGGTCATCAAACTTTGGCCAGCCACCTGTTTCTGCAAATAAAGTGTCACTGGAACACAGCCATGCCCATTCATTTATGTTTCGTCTATGGCTGCTTTCACATTAAAAAGGCAGATTTGGTTGTTGCATAAAGACAGTATGGCTTGAAAAGTCTAAACTACTTATCATCTGGCCCTTAGCTAAATGCCCACTTACCTTAACTAGCTTTCAGGGTCAAGTCATCCATCTGCTTCCTGCTTATTTCTCCAGTCTAAATGTTCATTTCCTGTGTCATCCAGGCTACATAGTCTAGCTACCCTGAATCTTTCAATTCCTCACGTGTCAAGTACTCCTTTATCTCTGGGCCTCTGCAAATAATGACTCTCTACTTGGAACACTTCACTCCTTTAGGCCTCCTCTTGGAAGCTAGCCCTCCCTCTCATTTCTCAATTCTGGTCTGTGGTACTTCTCTGCCATGTCCCATTGTGTGTGATGCCTCGCTGCTGTGTCCGTTTGATCTTCATGTCTCTACACATATCACACGCCATTCTCATGTCTGGCTATTCATCAAGGGTAGAGACCTCATCTATCTTATAAACTAGAGAGAGAAATACATCTAGTTTAGGCTCTGAGTTCAGAAAACCTGGGTTGAAATCCCAACTCTGTCATTATCTAGCTGTATGATCTTTGGCTATTTTACTTAGCATCCTGGAGCCTCAGTTTCCTTCTATGTAAAATAAAAACAATGATACTATCTACTAAGTAGGGGTTGTCTGAGGGATAAATTATTGTAACTGTTCATGGATATGTTCTCCGGGGCCCAGCACAGCACCTACTATATAGCTGCTCAATAAGATCTGTTGAATGAATACTATAAATTCTCAACTGATAATCTAGATTTCAATGTTACTTTTTTTTTAATATAGAGGAAATTTCTATCTCTGGCAGTGTTAACACAAACTACATATATTCATATATCCTTGAATAACGAGTACTGCACAGTACATATGTTTAACAGATAGTGGTAAAACCGAACTGCTTCTGTTCTTGAGTATATGCATAAAATAATCAGCCACTTAAAAGATCTCTTTCAAATAATCACTTGAAAGGTGTACAATAAATATTAATCTGAAAAATCAATTAGCTTTATTTTAAAAGAAGAAACCAAGTTTGTTATCAAGATGAGCCCACTAATAAGCAGGATTTAGAGTATACATGATATTGTAGACAGTGACCAATGTTCTAAAAATGACAAGTCTGTGAGTAGTCTAGAAGAAAAAATATTACAGAAACAATATACTTAGTCCAATATACTACTTCTACAGTCCATCTGCTTCTAACTTTTGAAAAATGTATATAACTGCCACAAGTATTAAATTATTAACATGAACATGACAGATCTCAAGTATTTCTTAATGGTGACTTTATATGTAACAAGTGTGGTTTAAAAAAATGTGATCAATAGATTAAGGGATGAGTGAGCCCCTATAATGCAATTAGTGTATATTCTAACATGAAGAGCTAAACACAATAATACATACATCTTGGGAAAATATGCGGTCTCTAGCTCTCTGGTACTCTTCTTCTCTTTCTTCTATAGATTTGCTTCTTCTGTCATCTTTTAAACGTATTCTCATCTAAAGAAAAGAGAACAATTAATGCTTGGGAAAGTTACCTGCTGGTGTAAATCCTGCACCTGTAAGAATGCTCTAATTGTGTTCGATTACCTGGTTATCATCTTTGTCAAAGCTAGAGTTATCTCTCTTGAGGATATATCGTTTCTGAAAGTCTTCACCTTTATCATCCTTAATATGTTCATTAAATTTCTGATCAGGTCTGAAAAAACAAGGGAACAAAAACGACAATATATGATGTTTACACAAAAGTTAAATATAACATTTTATAAAAAATAATCAAAGTGATCACTCACTGGTACCATTAATAGGTGCTTATGTTATCTCATTTACTCCTCACAATAATCTTTTAACAAAATATTAGCCACCTGATGTTACACGTGAAAGGCCATATGGAATACAGTGTGGTCTCTGGAATCAGACTGCTTCTGTTCAAACATTCAGCTTTACCAATTTAGCTGCTTTAGGACTGCTCAAGTTACTCAACTTTTATATTCCCTAGTTTCCTCATTTGTAAATGGGAACTATAATGAATCTACTTCATGGAGTTGTTCTGAAGGTGAATAAATAGCACTTATAACAGTAAACACTCAGTAGAAGTTTGTTATTATAAATATTACTAAGAAAACAGGCTCAAATGGCTTAAGCAGCTGTCCAAGGTCAAAAGGTAAGTACATGACTGAGCGATAGCTGGAGCCCTGGTATATAAGACCCAAAGCCTGCATATCCTCTGCATTGCCTCCTCTAAGTCTAAGAAAAAATTCTGGGACAAGGAAAAAAGTATAGCACAGTATCATATGTTCTACTCCTACAGTACCTGGTTTGGTGTTATATAACTGAAAGTAATAAAATATCTTGTGGTTGAATGATCTACAATTTAAGAGACTACTTCAAAATGCAACAAAGTTGCCAAGAATGCTTAGTTATAACAGGGTACATCTTTGTTTTATGTTAACTGAAACCAATTACAAAAGAGAACTTTTTTGGAGGTTAACATTGTAACATTGTAACATAAAATCTTAATATATTTTAGGGCTGATTGGTGTTTCCTCTATGGAAATGTTGCAAGTTCTACTGAGATCCAGAAGACAGACATAAGGTTGTGGCCCTTGGAAAATAATTATGTAAAATTTCACTATCTCAAATATATTTTCAGCTTCAACACATTCATTCAGTACTCTTGTGACTTAATAGCATTCTCTCATGAAATTGGAATCACTTTTTTGAAATATAGGATATATAAAAATATATTTAGATGTTATAAAGAAAGTCTCATCAAATGCCCAAGTAGTTTTTTTTAACACAGTTAAAAAAAACATTAGTTGCATAATATATTAGAAATGCGATAAGTAAATTACTAAACCAAGTAAATCTGAAAAATGACATTTTCAGTAAACTGACCAGTTTTTTCAATATATATAGTACTCAAGTAACACTTCTAAATATTTTTTAACCTAGTGAATTTTTAATAAAGTACTGTATCTACTTCCTGTCAAATGATGCAAAAGGAGATTTAAAATGAGAATGATCTAAGTAAGCTAAAGAAACCTCTATTTTAAAATGTATTTAGATAAGTGAAACAAAGCAGATCTCCGCATAAACTTATATACAGAACTAAAGAGACAAAAAGAGTAAAATGGTTTCATGACCAAACTGATAAGAAAAACGTTGTTTTCTTTAGGAGTTTGAAAGATTGTCTATTTAGTTCTGACAATAGCAGCATGTTGTTATTTCTATCTCATTATTGCCCTGTTTGCTTATATCCACTATTTTTGTAGCTAGGTCCCACTTTCTTATTTGAGGAGTTTCGTACTTGGGTGAGAGATTGTTATTCCAATGTGAACTATAAGGTTTAACCAAGGGCCTGGCAACTTTTCTGAGAGCAGCTGGATTCCCACAGCAAAGAAACAGCACTGGCAGGCATTTCAGCTAACCTTCAGACTGTCTTACCTCTTTCTTTTATAGATGCCTGAATTTACTGCCCTGCAATCGCCAACTTCCCGCTCCATTGAGACACCCCAGTGGACACCGGGTTGTTGACATCCACAACACCACTGGTTCAAGGCTGGAGCGGGTAATCTGCCTATGAGGAAAAGGTAAGTTTGTTTTTATTCAATGTGGAACAGATCTCTAAGGTTTTCTGATTTAGAGCCTTCTGTGTATTCCAGAAGATATAAAATAAGAATACAGTGTAACTTCAATGATCTGAAAGGTCTAAGTGCACCATAAACATCTGTGTTTAGCTAAACTTTTGACTGCCTTGATAAAGAGAACCCTAAAGCTTCCTGACATCATTCACAGCATTCAAACAACTGAGGTTACACTGTATTGAAAACCTTAGAGAGTCACCAGTCAAAATGTTAGTGAAAATGCCTGCTAATGTGCGTGGGCATCCAGCAGCTCTGAGTAATGTTGAAGTGCACTGGTTAAACGAATTAGAATTCTATTCACCTTCAGTCCAGCTCATACATAACAGTTACTATCCTACCTTAGCCACAATATAACTGGTTGGGAAAATATTGAGGGGGATATTTTAAAAAGACTATGGTATGCGCAGAGGAGAATTAAATCACATTCACATTTGAAGGTAAAATTTAATTCCTAAAGAAAGATAGGATCCTTTTCAAAGAATCTATCTTTACCATTTTAATTTTAGTTCAGGAAAAATCATTTAAAAATACTAGGTTCCATCAATATATCTATTTAGTTGACAATATACTATTAGACACGGAAGAAAGCCAACTTAATTCCAGCAAATAAAATGGCAGGTAGAAGAGTAAAGGTCAATACAACAGAAGGGACACAAGTGAATTAAATATAACCACGCAAACTGAATGGTTCAAAGACAGCACACTGTCAAGAAAGGCAGAAAAAATCATGAACTGGGAAACATTATTTATGGCATCTGAAGTTGAAGCTCATTACCACAGATCCATTGCTGCCACAGAGAAAATTCTTCTGATAGATAGATCACCACCACAGTATAAATTTTAGCTGAACCCAACTAGTTGCTTTAGGATTAGCTTTACAACTAGAGAAGAGGTGCTGTATACATGTTATAATTTTAGGTGCCTCTGCACTGGGCCTTTTGCTCCCAAATATGAGCACTGACAATTTTACCAACACTATAAAGCTATCACTTTTTAAAGCAAATGGCTCCTAACTCCTTAAGAAAATTTCCTCAGTAAATTATATATAGCTCAGAGGTAAACACAACAGTATGGTTAATGCCGTAGTAATCATTATACCCACCTTCTTGTGCTTTGTGGGAGAAAAGGAGCAAAAACACAGGTGGAAAGGATGGCAAAGTGACAGAAGGTTCAAAATTTGCTTCCCTACCCCCCAACCCCCAATTTGTCTGAGGTTGGCTATAGCTGTCTAAACTACATTAAATTAAAAATCCATGAGAATGGTTAACAAACATCACTGATATTATGACCTCAGAGGGTTTTTTTGCTTTTGTTTTTTTAGACCAGTTCTCCTTCACCTGCCTCATTTCAGCTCAGATTGGTGCATTTAGAATCTAGTGAGCTAAATGTATTTTTTGATCCAAACACATAAGGTTATCATGAAGCTTAATAGGCTGCTAAAACACGTGGAAAACCTCAGATGAAAGATGCTGTAGAAAGATAAGTGTTGTTACACACATATATAACATATACCTACGTTTGTTGATACTTACATTCTTGTATTGCTAGTTTTGTTTACTATGACAGATTTTCCACTCTGATCAACATTGTGGTCTAATCCAAAGTAAGCAGCTACCCTGTGTAATAGCATCCTATGGTAAGATGTCATTGGGGGGAATTTTTTACGTGGAGACCTAGAAGTAGAAGGAAAACTAATTTAGTGAATCAAGGAGAACTGCAATGACAATTTGTTTTCTTGTTAAATATCAGGACTTACTCATTATTACCAATGAAATCTAAAATTTCTTGTTCCAATTTCAACAGCATCATTCTGTCCCTGAAACAAAATATGAAGACTCTTATATGTAAAACTTAAAATGGAAATAATCATTAATGTTGAATTTATACTGCTAAATATATTTTCTTAGAAACTGTGCACTGAGGAACATCACAAGCTTGATGCTAGAATATTTAATTTACATGTTTTCTAAAAAAAGTAATGTTTTAAAGGAGTGAAAGATGACATTTTTTAGCTTAAATTTTTATTATGGAAAATTTCACACATATACAAATGTAGAGAGAACAGTGTAATAAACCTCAATATAGCCATCACCCAACTTCAACAATTATCAGCATGTGGTCATTCTTACAATAGATGTATTTTTATGTAATTATCACTATACTGGAGTGTGTTCTGTAAATATATGGATAATAAGAGCACATTAGTTTTTACCTCCTTACTCAATAAAGCTGAGGTAGCAGGAAAACAGACATCTCCAGTTAGGCTCATGACTTTGTTATAGCTGAACTCCATAGAAACAGTACTCTAAAGAACATGCAATGCCAGTAACGACAGGAACACTCCTATGGGAGTCTAACGTTAGTACAGAGACGGAACCACAGCAGAGCAGTATGAACTCAGAAGGAGAGGACTTTTCAAACCACTCTGTCAATTGCTATTACATATTTTTAAGATTTGGGAATTTTCCCCATAAAAATCAAAATGAACCAAGGCCTCCAACATGTAAAGTACATAAGGACGCTAAGGAGAAGCTGCAATGTGCTCCTTCAGACCACTAGGGTCCTATGTACTCAGTATGTAGACAGTGTACTTAGGCTGTAACAAATGAATGGTACTCCTCCCCAAAGGACTTCCTTGCTCACACACCAAGAACAGGGCTCAAGAGAGTATTCCTGTGCTTACTGGAAATGTCATGTGCCTGTACATGTGCGTGTGTGTGTGTGTGTGTGTGGGGGGGTGAACAAAACAACTCAGAGAACCTTAAAGCTAGAAGGTCATTCAGTTTTTTTTTTTACAGATCATTCAGTTTTGTTCCCAAAATTTTATAGATCAAGAAAACTAGGCCAAAAGGTTAATGTTTTCTTCCCAAATAAACATTATATAGTAGATCCCTCTCAAATTCTAACAGAGCAGACTGTGCTTTCTGCTTAAATTGCCTGAAAGGCTATATATCAGCTCTGATTTTGATCCTCCCTCTACATTAACAAAAGATGTCTCATAAAACTGAGTAATATTTGACCATACATTTAAAGATATTAGTTGAAAAATCAAGAGAAAAATATAAATATGCCAACCTGGTGATTTCAAATTTAAAGCTGAAAACAGGAATATATTTTAACACAAATACTATCACCATTCAATTTTGCTCCCAAATCTGGTTTTCATTTAGAATTCCCCATCTCACTAAGTGGTGCCAGCTTTCACCTAGAATATTGTACTGGAAGTATTTTTGGCCTGTTATCCTTTTTCTAGTCCTGTTCTGCAGTTAATTATGACTGCAAATTTTATCTACCTTCTATCTTTCTTCTGTTTCCACTGTTTCCAGGATCTCTGACTTGACTACAGTTTAATGCCTCTGTCTTCCCTTGTTCCCTCCAAATCTATTCTACCTAGAGCAACCCATAATAATCTTTTAAAAACACACATGTGAACAGATAGATGTCCTTGCCTTGGTTAAATATTTATCACAGGTTTACCAGTGCTCTCAGGCTAGAATTCAGCATCTGTAATGTGGCCCACACAGCAGGCATAATCTGGTCTTTATCTACCTTTAGCCTCATCCCCCGTCCCTTACTCACAAAACTCTTATCTTGGTTATCTCTGCACTTGCCAAGCAAGGTCCTTCCCTGTTTCCTTAAACATGCTGTTTCCTTTGCTTAGAACAACTTCTTATATTCTTTCTTAGAACTAGTTTTCTTTCATACTTTTCTATAATAGCATTTATGACAATTGTCAGTATATAGTTATTTGGACTATATAGAGGAGCTCAACAAATGTATTTGCATGGAATAAATTAATGAAATTATTTCATCCAGAAGGTCTTTTAATTTTTTTTTCTTTAAATTTTTGAGGGAGGATAAGGAATTTTTACTGCATAAGGTTTCCCCCACAAAAGGACTTACTTAACGATAAGACCCTCTTTTCATCTAACTTTTAGGGGTCAATTTGTCTTGAAATGATGTAATTTTCAGTAATTTGCCTGATGTATTTTATACACTTATTGTAGGAAAAAAAGGAATCTGAGGCAGGCAATTTATTCAGTATTCACAACACAGTGCATTTAAATTGGTTTTCTGTGTCTGAGCTACACAGCAGGCATCTAAGATATGTGAAATGTTCTTCAGTGATGTAGTGCCATTGAAAAGTAATTTCTGTTGTCTCCATGAAAGAAAACAAAATCTAATACTTTTACTAGTCATTGATACAAATTCAGGCTTTCCCCGCCTTTTACCATGTGGTATATGGATTGCAAAGGATTTTCTATTATTATCTGGACCATATATTATTTAAACTAAGTTCCCCTGCTCAGTTTATTAAACTTTTAGTTACTAAAAACAACTTGTTCGAAAAATAAGGCTGATAACTTCCCTAAGTCCTTTAGAGTTACACTTCCTGCCTTTTATCCAGTATAGTCCAAGCTCCCACATTTTCAAATCTGTAGCCAATTTTAGATATTTTGGTAATGACTGTAAACTAAAAATGAATAATCCCTTATAGAATACATATAGGCATCAAATTAACAGATCCACAAATTACTTTTCTTAAGGCACACGAACCTAAAAGTAGGCACGCTTATGGAAACTGTTATCACATAAGCTTTAAAAGGAACCAATATAATAAAAAGAACCAATATAATATAAATGTCTAATCCCTAGGTTATACACCTGAAACTAATATAAAATTGTACTGTCAACTGTAACTGAAAAATTAAAAAAAAACAGGAACCAATATATGGTGTCTATTACTAAAGAAATAATAAAAACAAGGATCTCAATCAAACTGATCAGTAGCAACCTACTACCTAAAGTTCAAATGAAGGGGCAACAATCTCTTAGTTATCCGTGTTCTAGTCATTATATCAGAATTAACTTTAGAGAAAGTGTGTGTAGATGTTATACCAGTGGTAAATAAAAAAGAAGAAAACAATAATGCTTCCACCTGACTACCCCCTTTCCAACGTTCCATAGGACCTTGGTCAAATATCTGCAACGGATGAGAATAAAATGACTTTTACAAAGTATTTCAAACACAAATTACTTTAAAAATATCCATTCTCAGAATTAATCCATGGGGTTGCTCCCCTTCATGGATCATCTAATACAGTTAGTTTTATTATCCGTATTTAATATATATGGAATTCATAAAGTGGGTATAAAACCAATATAAAAACGGGTATAAAATTATGTGAGTGTAATCTCTATTGAGATTCTAATTCAGCCTCTAAAAATATTTCTTACAAACAGGAATTTCAGGTAAATTATTTAACACCTAAAATTAAGTTGATTTACTGGGCTGAGAACAAGATAAAGATTTAATGATCTAAAGAAAAATTCTGAAAGGAGTTCTTTGAGCAGTATTTAATCTTGAAAGCTGCAGTAGAACTCTGCCACACTTATTGCTAATTTTGTGCCATGTATATCTGGCAATTGATTGTGTGTTTCATAGAGCAAACACTGAGCTATCAATTAAGCAAATCTTGTTTCTCACCAAATTTAACATTAGCTACAACTTCCTAATCCACATTGATATAAGTAATAACTTATACTTTAGCCATTCCATAAATTATTCATCTATATATTTATTCCAATAAAAATGCATACACAGAAGGAATGAAGTACTGATACATGCTACAACATGGATGAATCTTAAAAATATCATGCTACGTGAATGCCAGTCACAAAAGACCACACATATATGATATTCACATGAGATGTCCAAAACAGGGAAATCTGTACAAAAAACTAGGTTAGCCCTCAGCGCATAGGGAGGTGATAGCAACAGGGTACGAGTTTTTTTTTTGGGGGGTGATGAAAATGTTCTATAATTGACTGCAGTGATGGTTCCACATATCTGTGAATATACTAAAAATTATTAAATTATACACTTTAAAAATTAATATGCAAACTTTCAAACTTTTGCATTTGTAGAGGAAAACAGAAGTACACAATAGAAAAATATTTTGGAACACATAAAAATTGATTTCTCATCTTTGTCTTTATTGATGTCTCTCCTAAAGGTTCAGAAGAAAAATTCTGCCTGTTTGGGATCCCATCTTGTTTCAAACAAGCTACACAGTTTTCTACCTTCCCCTTATTCTTCAACTCTCTGAGTTCTGGTTTCCACCATTCTACTCCAAAAGAAACAGCTTGTTACAATAGCCAACTTCCTAGTTTCTCAGTCTAATGAATTGTTTTTGGTACTTCTATTTTACCTTCCATGAAACTGTTCTCCCTTGGCTGATTTCTAAGACAAATGTTCACATGATTCTTTTGCTATCTTTAGGACTCAGTCTCTTCCTTCTCATTTACTTTTATATACTGTCTTTCCATAGAATTTTGTCCTTGTCACTTATTTTATGTTTCTGGGCAAATTCATTCATATCAAGCTTCACCTTTCCTGCTGACTCCTGAACCTGGACTCCAGCCGGGCTCATTTACTTGATAATCAGAGCATCTTAACTGCCAGCAGACCTCATCTCCTGGCTTTCCACCAGGTACCTCCAACTACTTATTTATAACAAAACATGCCTGATTCCCTTCAGGCTTGCCCCTTATTCACTTTGTCAGTTAATGGAACTAGCTATCATCCAAGCCAGAAACTTAGCAGCTACTCTGTTCTCTACTGTCCCTTCACCCTTCCATATCTAAATGATCACCAGGTTCTTCCATGGTACTTCCTGAATATGTTTCCAGGGTGTCCTTTTCTCTCTGTTCTTCTCTGGTCTTCTATGCAAACTCCTTGCTTATGATTTTCACTCCTCACTGCCGAAGCAACCTTTCTAAAATACAAATCTGATTATGGTATTACCCTGTTCAAAATCCTCTAAATACTCCTCAACTTAGCATGCCACACTCAGTATTTCTCAATTGGTGCACTATTGGCACTTCAAGTAAGACTATTTTTCATTGTTCATTACTGCCTTACAGATCTTTTTAACAAGCCTGGCTTCCCAGGACCCCACAGTCACTGACACTCACCTCCCCAACATATTGGTACTATCCTATGTCGAGAATAACTAGATGTAATCTGTCTTCATATCTCACCAACACCTTCCCCATCAGTTCCTGGAATTACTTGCCACATGCCACCCTGTTAGAGCCAGAGTGTACAATCTTCTTTCTTTGGATATACCTCTTCCCCTCTCACACGCCTATGCTTCGGCAATGCTCTTGTCTCTATGTGGAATGCCTTTCGTATGCTTCCCCGCATGGACAGTTTCCATTTAAATCACTCTGAATTCAAAACTCAGCTCAGGCATTATCTTCTCAATGACACCTTCCCACGCCCCCTCCAGGAGAAGTGGGGTCCCCCACCATATGTTTTTACAGCACCTTGAAAAACTTCTTTTATAACATCTATTCTATTTTCATTATGTATCATGTTTCTTCCTAGCATAGAGACGGTGAACACTTTAGGGTCAGAGATTATATCTTGTCCATCTTTATATCTGCAATGTTTAGCACATGACAGGTAGTCAACAAACATCCATTCGTTGGACTAATGAACTCATCTTTCTTTTAAAACCAGTGAGGAATAAGCTTGAACTTAAAAAAAATAAAAGACATGCAGTTGACTGTCTTCTTTGTCAAGTCATACCTGTACTCCATCAGTCCCTATTACAAGAAGACCACTTTTTATATTAGTGGTTCTCCTTTCAAGGTTTATGTTAAATGCAAATTAGAAAATCAAGACAGTACTGAATACAATAAGTCTTGAAAAAAAAATACAGGTTTACTTTGAGGTATGACATAAGTCTTGCTGAGACTAAAGAGAGTTAGTTGTTCATGGTTTCTTCCATGTGCACACATCCAATGAAATTGTTTTATTTTTATTTCAGTGTTTGTTCAATAATGACCACTCTGGGAAGCTAACATCAAGATGATGGATTCTTAACCTTGGCGTCTTCGACCTCATACAAGTGTTGATATTTTGTGGATAAGCCTTGATGTGGGGAAAAAGCCTCAAAGGGGTCAGTGACCTGCCAAAAAGTTACAATCTACTTATTCAGTACCCTGGGAAAACAAAGGATTTCAATTAGTTAAAGCAGTGACTCAAATAAAGTAGCACCTCAAAAATCTTTGGGCTGAATGTTTATAAACTCAGAGAGAAGGAACAAAAGTTCAAAAACTCATTATAAATGAATACATTAAGTTTGTATTTGGCTGAGTGCATTATTGTGAGGTACATTTTTCTTTTTTTTTTCAGGATTAATGATACCTCTCTATTTCAATTAACAGTCAAAACAGCTTGGTGATTCTGTATTTTCCCAAATTCCTACAAAATATGAATTATTTTATATCATGATGATATACATAATGAAAAAAGGTATTTACACATGTACATACCAAAAGACCAAGGACATCTTAGCCCTAAGAAACTAAAATGTTTCTGGTGTACTTCAAATATTGCAACCTTATTCTAATATTCTAACTCAGTAACGAAAACATATATAGCAAATTATGGTACTCCAGACGCAATGTAAACCTTATAAATTCAATTGTTACCTGGGATTGTTTTTTAATGTATTTACTAAAAATTCATGTAGATCTATGCCAGTTGAATCAGTGTATTCTTGACTGGAATCTAAAAAACAACAACACAAAAACCCAGTATAAAGTTGTTTGAAAACAAACTCCTTCCCCATTTACACATATTAAATGAGATGCCCCACACTGAGAAAAATCAACAAAGGAAATTTATGAACTCAGATGATCACAATTTTTCTATTCCAAGATAATGAGCAGACATGGGTTTATAAAACTGCATGTACATGCATTCTTAAAAACAAATTTATCTTTCAAACGTGCCAGTTTAATTCACTCTGAATTCTTTAAAGATCCTTTTCTATACTCACCACAATCCTCATGTTCAAAAATGCCTCCTTAAGTGAAAAATTAGAATGATTTAGACAATTAACTACATTTGTAGCAAATTAAGACAGCTAAGTTCAGTTGTGAATATAGGTGGAGAAAATAATTTGGAGGTAGATAAGAAATTTTAGTTCTGAAATAAATATTTATTTAATTAGATTTGATCAGGTCTATCACCAAAGGCTTATTTTCAAAATATTTTTTCAAATATTCATGTTTTTTTCTTCCTCTTAAATGTAATGTCCTTGTGTGGTTTATAATACTGGTCAGCATAATTGAGTTTATAAATTAAAAAAGCATTTTTATAGACTTGCAATACTAGATGATGGTGAAGTCCCTTAAAATTTATTATGAAAGATAAACATTCAGTGTTTCCAGGAATACTCTTAATGGATACTGAATTATTTAAGCATCAGCTCTTTGTATCACAAGGAATTAAATAATAAAATTTTTAGTGGAATCAATATTCAAATTATAGTGATTCCAGTATTTCAATATGAGAGGTAGACCAAAACAGATTAACAGAGTTATCTTCCTCAGTGAGTCTGGAATGTGTTGCAGTTTTTGGCTACAGCATGTACTGATGCTCAGAACTGTTTATTTCATTTTGCCCAGATGAGCAAATACTGCATTATCTCTTTGGTTTGTTCTGTATCATTTTTAATATAGATACATGTTCTATCTATCTATTTATCTATTTCTATAACTACATATCTATACATATAATTATTTGAGGGATAAAGGACGGAATTATCAACAGTGAAACTAAAATTTTGGTTTTTAAAAAACAGAAATAAATTGCAAACCTCTTGATAACATTTTTCTGGGCAACTTATCATTGGCTTTTTCTTTTTCTGCTTCATCTTTTGAGGGCTTCTCCTCTTTTTCAAATGATTGTGTTAACTGGATCTGAATTTTCTCCTGTTGGAAGGTAAAATCTGTTATTAAATGAAAATATAAAGTGATGCAGCTAATACCACATATTTGTAGTTTCTGAGTCACGCAAAAGTATATGGAGGAAAAAAAGGAAAAAGATTTTTATTTTATCCAATTAGAGTCTTCAAAATAGAATACAACTTAAAAATATTTTTACCACTTTTATCGAGGTCTTGATAGAAAAGGTTAAAATTAATGTTTTGAGTAGAATAATATATCAATTGAAACATATCCTGTAAATTATTTTAGATAAAACAAATGTTTTATATAATAGTTTAAATGTATCTACTTGTAAAACCTCTGGAGGATCAGAACTAAGCTATTCTTAACCTATGTCTGCAATGGAGATGTCATGGCCAAGCAAAAGCATATTACCATCAATCATGTCAACAGAAATATATGAGTGTCAAGTCAATACTTAATAAAAAGTACTTCTTTGAGTATTCATTATAATCTCATATTCCTTCATTCTCTTGACATATAAAGATGTAAGTACATATTTTTCAACACCAAATCCACATTATTTTAATTATTTCTTATCTGAGATTTAAATATTACTATTCCTCCTTCAATCTCCACAAAGTTGTTTTAGAAAGATTTCAAACAAGATTATTTTCCTTCCTGATATGTATTAATTCATTGTAAAGTAGCCATATTCTTTAAGACTGAAAAAGAGAACTAATTCTACATTTAATTTTTAAAACAATGTAATTACATGCAATTTCAGGACCCCCCCCCCCAAGTTACTGGAAATTAATTCAGGTAGTCTTAAAAGGTAAAAAATCACATAGCTGTTAATTCAGGCAAAGTTATAAAGAAAGACAGAATAACTTCCAGACCATTTCTACAAAAGATAAAGATGTGACCTATTTGTAGAGTAAATTATATTGTTCTTTAGTGGTGAAAAACATCAACCAACTCCTTTACTTTGTTGGGAGATGGTTGGTGGTGGCAGTAAGTCAATATCAAAGAAGATATAAATTTCAGAATTCTTCAACTTGCAACCACCAGGATTTCTATGAAACATTTTTATTTGGCAGAGGAATTTCAGATCAAACACATGTATTTTTTTTTTATAGGGTTGCTGGCTATTTTCATCTCTTACAATTCTGCTTCCCCTTCCATTTCAGTTCCAATTTGTGTTCAGAATCTATAAGGCAAAAGTTATGCACTGGCAATTTGCACTAAAATGATGAACACTTGCTTTATGCTCTCCTTTGTCTTGCCCACCAAACTTCATACATTCATCAAGTGGTAAGTCATCTTTCTCATTATGACTCATTTTCTTTTTGTAAATTAAATTTACTAGGGTAACATTGGCTAATAACATTACATAAATTTCAGGTACACCTTTTAACACAACATCTGTATACTCTAATGTGTGCTTACCACCCTGAGTCTAGTCTCCTTCAGTCACCTTGTATTTGACTCCCTTTACCAATTCATCCTTGCCCCACCCCCTTTCCCTGTGGGAACCACCATTCTGTTGTTGTATCTAGGAGTTTTCTGTTAGTTTCATTTTATCTGTTCATTTGTTGCTTTTTGTTTTAGACCCCACATGAGTGAAATCACATGGTTCTTGTCCTTTTCCGTCTGGTTTACTTCACTTAGCATACTCTCAAAATCCATCTATGTTGTATTATGACCCATTTTTTAATCTACCTATTTTTTACAATTATAAAATAGATATTTAAAAATGAATCCCAGAACTATGTTTCAAAAGTAGAATATTGAAAGTTTTCCTGACTTACAGCTTCTATTCCTGTTGCTCAACAATAATCTATGAAATCCAGGTTGGAAGAAAAAATTTCACATATAGACCGTCACTAAAAGGTGTTTCGAATGACTACTGGATTTCATTCTAAAGTCTCCTACAGCTGTACATTTTAATTACAGATATTAAACTATTTCATCAAAATGAACTGTATTTAAAAATCAAGTAGACTTAATGTACTGAGGCCTTGTTTTCAGTGGCAAAAAAACAAGACATATTTTAAATACTGAAGTCCTTATACACAAACTCTTCTGACTAAATAATTAAAATGATAGCAGCATCTCCGTAGGAAGTTCTAATTCCTTTTACTCTCTGCTCTGTCAGTGACATCTGCTCTTGAGGTCATTTCCCTCTCATAAGCTCTCATCAGACACAAGTGATACCTCTTTTTAAATTGCTTCTCAACCTTTTGAATAATAAATTTTATTCCAGATTAATTCCTCAAAAATCACATTCTGAAGCAAGTATTATTAGTTGGAAAGTAAGTATCTCTACCTTCAAGGATTAGATACTAGCACATTTCATTAGAAATAATTTATTTTCCAATTCCCATTCAGGTGAAATATAGTTAATTCAAGACTTGGAAAAAGACTTTCTACTAAAAGGAGTATCTTTTGTTCAGTGAAGGTAATAAGAGGTTATTAACCCCAAAGAAAAAATTATTGGATCCAAGAGAAATTGGAAAGAATAACTGAATTCTGGCATAAGTGCCTTATTCGCTACTCATATGCTATATAACTCAGCTTTTTTAACTATAAATGCAAAAATTATCATCTGTGATCAATAATATATACATTAATTTACAACACATACTCCTGATATTTTTTCTCATATAAATTTTCACTAGCTAAATTTATGTAGCACTATAAAGAATTTCCCCCCTATACTTTTCAGATAGGTAAAATGTACTGAATAAAACCAAAAATCACATTACAGTTTTTCTCAAAAAGAATGCACTTTTTCTGCATTAGCAGTCTTATGCACACCTGACCCATCTCATTTCCTCAGTCTCCTTTGACTAATTATTCCATGAGGATAAGATGTTGTAACATTTTGGACAACAGAATGAAGAAATAAATTTTCAAAAAACATTACACTGCCCACCACTCCACCTTGAAGAGGCTATTCTTTACTCTGACGTCTACAAAGTAACTTTTTAAAATTGCTATTTCAAAACCAATTTTATTGGATTTTTCTCAGAGTGCATCATAACGCTTCAGCCTTATCAACAACCATAATTTTGGCTAACCAAATGTTAGCCAAAGGTTAACATTTGAAAACGTTCTCAGGCAACAGCTCTTAGTCAAGTATTTTGACTGTATTTCTGCTTTTTGCAAGAAAGTCTGTTATTAAAATAAAATCAATTTTATAGAATACATATAGCTATATTCTACTGATATAATTAAATTTTAAATAAAAATAACAAATAAATTTTGAACGCTGTGTGCCTGACATCTGAACACATTTCAAAGGAAACTGATTTTCAAGTATTTTTTTTTACTGACAATAAGATTAAAAAACCTTTTAAAAACCTTCCTTTTCTAGCATTTTGGAAACAAAGAGGTACAATGTTTTTAAAAATCAGAACATATTTTAAGTATGTTCTATTTAGAACATAATGACTATCTTCGCTATCTGCTGGTAGGCTTTTTGAGGGCATCATTTTCTAAATCAAGGCAAAGTATAGCAGTCTTTGTTTTTATCAACAAATGTACAATTGCCATTTATTAATAAAAAAAAAACCACCCAGCTTGTCATGGCCTTTTTTCCCCCCATTGTTCTATTTTTAGTCATAGCTTCTTAAATAACCACAAAGTTGCCTCAATTCTTTGGAAATGAATTGTTAGGATATAGGGGGATTTTAAGTTGTTCAAACTCTTAAGTAGAACAAGACACTAACAACCAAAGTTATCAATGATAAACATTCGTAGAGCATCCAAAACTATTTATGTATAAAATGGCCAAACATAAGGCAAAGATAAATCCACAGCTTAGATTAACAGAAAAGTAGCAATAGCATTAAAAAGAATATACAAGGTAAACCGAACTGTTTGCTTGAACTTCAGTAGTTCTATATTTTACAAGCAAAAATAGCAGAGGAATTAGAAGTATTAGACAACTATTAGAGACAAGCTAATATGAAAATTGGCTTCACCATGCACTCAGGTTAAGTAAAATAATGTATAAAGCAGAAATCTTGGGTAGTCTCTTTTTTTGTGAAAAGCGGTATTTGACAAATTTCTAAAAGCCAAAATCAGAAGGGCAAATTTCATTACATTAAGTGGAAGTTATTATTTTAGTAGTTTATAACATTCCCATAATAACTTATAACTCCCTTAAAGCCATATTCCTGGTTAATCATACAATCTGTAAGTTTTTCCAGAGAGAAATCATTATACTAAATCTTAGACTGAAATAACAAGGTTCCCCCCACTTTTCATGTGTATCTTGGATGCAAGTATTATCAAATCAATGTCACTTAGTAAAAACATACGTAACACACACACACATGCAAATACAACTTTTATTTAAACTTATGAAAAAATATTCTCCAAGAGCAGGTTATTCCACCATGGTTTTAAATAATAACTCTTTGTTTTGTTTTTTGTTTTTGGTTATTTTACCTGGTTCTCCTGTGATATCTCTGTTGTAGGGGGTGGTGGAGATTCTTCACACACTGCAAGGCTCCGAACTAGCTTTAACTTTGAGCTTGACTAAAGAGAAGTATTTAAAATTAACACTACATTTCAAAAATCTAGGGTATATCCAAAAGCCCCCTAGAGTTTCTTAAGTCTTTAGAGTTTCTGCCACGTATAGAGGTAGATGAAGTGTGAAAGTTAAATATATCATTAATTACCACTAAAACCCTTTAAGGGGGAAAACAAACAGTTGTAGTTTTGAAAATTACAGCAACAGCAAGAATGGGAACAATTCTAATTCCAAAACCCAAAGAATGGTGAGAAAGCCGTTTTCTCTATAGATATAGAACCATTAAAGATATAAAAGCAATGCACAAAAGCGACTAGGCAAGACAAAAACCCCAAATAAAACAAAATAAGCTTTCTGCCCCAAACAAAACATGACAAAACTAAACTGAATGCAGCGCTATATGAAAACAAGAATTCATCAAGCATGAAGGAAGGCCCTTGGCATGCCAGCACAAAATATTTACTATACCTTAGACCTTTTTCCTGTCTGTCCAAATGACTGCAATGGCCGCTGAATACACAAGAAAGATTTGTATTAAATTTCATACTGAAACAGAAAGTTTTCTTCTTAATTCATAATCCTAAACCACAGAGAAACTAACTGCACAAAGAACAGAAAATGAGGACATCAAAGTTGGTTTCAAGTAAAAAAGTATTGATTCCTCCCAGAAGCACACTCTCAGGATTCTCTAAAATCCTTCTGTGGATTGGTATTTTCATAAAGTAAGCAAATGGCCACAATTTCTTTGTTAACTGAGCTAAATGGAACTTACAAGGTAACTTCTCAGGTAGCAGCAAAATAAAACATACTTCTTCAGTATTTTATAATACATTACACTTTAGGCAAGGCTAGGGGGAAAAACCCCCACAAAAAACCTGAGGAATTTTAAGTAGCTGTGCTCTGCAAAGTTCTAAACTTACTAAAGTGAATGTTGCAAATGCGTAGTGAGTCAGAGTACAACCACCACCTATCTACTGAGCCTCTTCAGCGCTGTTTGAAGTACACAACAGGCTTATTAGTCACAGAATCCTGTTTGCCTGGTCCAGGCTAAGGTAATGGAGCAGAAATGAAGAAAAGAGGGCAGAGCTCCAATATGAATATTCAGCATGATTGCCAAATCATTAATCACATGACGGGGAACACGCTGGAGCAACGAGCTCTGGTGTGTGATACCAGGCTCTGGTTTGGGAAATCAGTCAAAGTCTCTGTAACCCACAGCCAGATGGGTTCTAAACATGCTTTCCTTCCTCCCATCTCCTTCCAATCTACCTCTCTAACCCCGACTGCACACAGTACAAGATCCAGGTACCTATCATTTATGCTCATTAAAGCCAAAGAGCCAGTTTGGTACCAAACATAAAACAGATAAGTAGTCCTCAAAATCTAGATTAGTATGCTTCACATACAAAAAACAAATAAAAGCTATCATTTCGGTCTAACATCCAAAAAAGCTTTCCTTGTAGAACCCACAGAAATGGAAACCCATGGCACCTGTGTGTCCTGTCCCCATTTTGAGCCCATGGTTCCTGAGATAAGAAATATTGTATTCTTGGGATTTTGACCCCGGATCACCCACACTACCAATCAGCAGTAATGAGAACAAAAGGAAAGTAGAAAAAAACAAAGGAAAATGATTTTCCGTTTCTTACACAGAAGAAAACGGCTCGTACGTGCACACAAACATACAGGACAATGCTGCCTAAGAGCTTCTGCATGTTGGTAGTGTCTTCTGTTTCTATTTATGCCCTTCTTCAATTTGTTCATGAGGATTTCTAATTGTAACTCATATGTCAAAACAGAATTAGAAGAAGTTATGCTATACAGAGTAAGGACTGGGAAAACAGTGGGAGAAAATCAATAGATGAATAATATTAGCAAAATGCACACAACTAAATAAGTTCTAAGGCAGCAGAAAGGTAAAGAATTTTGGACTTACTTATTTTGTCCAAATAAGTAAGTTTTAATCCCTTAAAATTCTAAATATCAGGAGTACAAAAGTTCCCATTCAAAATTTTAAAATAGATGATTAACTGACAAGTAAAAGCTGTCTGTATGCATATGCAGAGCGTTGAATTTAAATTTCTGGCTTTGCTGCTTATTAGTAGGTGACCCTGGTCAAGTTGTTTCAGTTTACTGGTATCTGTATAAAAGTTCGTACTATTTGTACGAATTCTCAAGATTCTTGAAAAGGTTCAACGAGAGGGTAGAATAAAAAAAGGGCTTTGTAAAAACTAAAGCACCATGATAAATAGGTTATTAGAGGTTAGATACCTAGCATGTCAGAAGACCAATGTCCTATTTGTTTACTAGCTATGATATTTTAACTTTAAAAAAATCTATAAAATGGGAATGTTGTACATTGTTCCTATAGTGATGGTTTAGAATTTTCAGACTAACACATGCATTAAGGGGCTCAGTTTTAATTTATAAGGAGCCTTTGGTGAAAATGAAGAAAGATTAAAAAAAAAGACAGAGAGGTAAAATGATCTCAATGTGACTTCATTTAATTAACATATTCTTCTGAGTTCCAGCTATACACCAGACACTGGAGCTATAAAGATGAATAAGACAAAGTTCCTGGTCTCAAGAACCTTGTAAACCAGGCTCAGAGTTACTAAATAGTCAAACAGAACCCAAGACCTTCAGAATCTTAGCCCAGTGCACTCTACATCATACCTATAAAAAAACCTTCTTGTGGATCAAATACCAATTATTGGGTTGTTGGAAAAGCATGACATATTTTTTTCTGTTTTTCATTGCAAAAATGCGTCATGACTTTTCCGACAACCCAATACTTGTGGTAGATGGAACTAAAGATTGCCTCCCAGCATTCCCATCCCCTGGTTATTTAATCAAACACTAATCTAAGTGAGGATGGGGAAGGGATTTCAAAATGTAATTAAAGTGTGAAGTTAATTGATTTTAAGATACAGAGATGATTCAGCTGGGCCTGACCCAATCAAGTGAGCCCTTTAAAAGCTGATGGTATTCAGTTGGGAGCAAAAGGGCAAAGGATGAGAAGGCCCTGAGGCACCACTGCTGGCTTTGAAGATGGAGGGGCTGTGTGAAAAGGACTGCAGGCAGCCTCGTGGAGCAGAGGGAGGCCCTTGGCCAACAGTCATCCAGGAAACATGAACCTCAGATTTACAACTGCAAGAAACTGAGCGTTGCCAACCACTGGAAGGAGCCCAGAAGCAAATTCTTCCCCAGAGTCTTCAGATAAGCACCCTGCCTGGCCAACACCTTTTATTTCAGCCTTGTAAAACCCTAAACAGAGAACTCACCTGAGCCCAACCTGACTTCTAATCTAGAGATCTGATATCTACAACTGAGTTGATAGTTGAGTATTGTTTTATGCCTCTCAGTTTGTGGTAATATGCTATGCAGTGACAGAAAACTAATACACTACTACATTAAACTATGAAGTGTTGAAGTGATATTATTCAATCATAGTCACATTATTTCATTTCAAACAGCAAAGAACTTGAAATAACATAATGTGTACCAGAAAACTTGCCATCACACATGCACACACAACAGAGAAAACAAGTTTTGTTTATTAAAGTAAATAGCCTTTGTTTATATTTTTGCTATCAATTTGGCAGCCAGGTTTGGTTTTCAATAGGAATAAAATTATTTTAAAAATGGATTTTATTACTTAAAGCACGCCTTTCATTTTTCCCAATTTTTTTTATCATGGAAAAATATACATACCATATTTAACAGCTTAATTATTTTCAAGTGTACAGTTCAAAAATACTTAATACATCTATAATGTTGTGCAACCATCACCACTATCCATAATTCTTTTCATCCTGTAAAACTGAAACCCAGTAAACATACTTCCCATTCTCTCCTCCCAACCCCTGACTACCACCATTCCATTTTCTCTATGATTTTGACTATTGTAAGTACCTGCTTTAAGAGGAATCATATAGTATTTGTCTTCTCGTGACTGGCTTATTTCACTTAACACAATGATCTCAAGGTTCACCCATGTTGCAGCACAGTGCAGAATTTCCTCCTTTTTAAAGGCTGAATAATATTCCATATTCAGGGATGAATGTTACTGAATAACAATGTTCAGTACAATGGAATATCCATTCATCTGCCGACGGATGCATTTGGGTTGTTTCCATGTTTTAGCTGCCGTATTTGCCGGCGTATAAGACGATTTTTTGGCCCTGAAAAATATGCCTCCAAGTGGGGGGTCGTCTTATACGCCAGGTACACTTCAGATAGACTGCCCATAGTGCTTGCCCCGTGCCATAGTGGCCTCCCGATGCCCGCCCACTTCATTCCACATACCGTTCAGGCATCAGCAGCGCTGCTGGGTGTATGCTCGGCTGTTATGCGATTTTGCGAGTGTGGTAAATTCGGGTTACCGTATATTTCTTTACATATGCATTGAAGATTCGCGATTTTGCGCTATCATGGTGCCTGTTAGAATGTTGAAGAGCTCACACTTGCGCACTAGTGAGGTCCCAGGGAGATGCTGATGCAAGGGTGGACCAGACTGCTATAGTGACAGGGCGGGCAAACAGGGAGCAGGGACCAATCAAATCAGGCTTTGTATACAGCCAACAGCCAACCACAATACTGCACCATTGTACAGTACAGCATAGAAAATGTCGACCAGTCAAACCCCTATCATCCCTATCATGGCACCAGCCAAAAGAAAGAAGTATGATGCAAATTTTAAACTGAAAGTTATAAACTTTGCTAAGGAAAATAATAATTGTGCTGCTGCAAGACAATATGGAGTAACAGAAAAGATGGTTCGGGACTGGAAATCAAATGAGAAAGCATTAAAGAGTATGCCAAGGGGTAAGTGTGCATCAAGAAGAGGCACCCCACACTGGCCAGAACTCGAAAAACATGTAGCAGACATGGTGGCTCAACATCGCCAAAACGGTTATGTGGTGACACGAAATACAATACGCTTGTTTGCACTTCAGTGGGCCAAATCAAATGATATTGTTTTACCTTTTATTTGGTGTGTGGAAGGTGTGCGGAAGAGGGGGTAGTCTTATACGGCGAGTATATAACAAACTCTGTATTTTGAGTGGAAATGTTAGGGGGTCGTCTTATACGCCGGCAAATACGGTATTGTGAATAATGCTGCTATAAACATGGGAGTACAAACATCTCTTTGAGATCCTGCTTTCAATTCTTTTGGGTATATACGCACAAGTGAAACTGCTGGATCACGTTAATTCTATTTAAAAATTTTTGAAGAACCTCCATACCGTTTCCATGGTGGATGTACCATTTTAAATTCCCACCAAAAGTATACAAGGGTTCCCAATTTCTCCACATCCTTGCCAACACTTGTTTTGCTTTTTTGATAGTAGTCTTAATGGGTGTGAGGTAGTATCTCATTGTAGTTCTGATTTGCTTTTCTCTAATGATTAGTGACATTGAGTATCTTTTCATGTACTTAGTATTGGCCATTCACCAGGCATGCCACTCTTCTTTGGAGAAATGTCTATTCAAGTCCTTTGCCCATT